CTTAAGAACATTGCCAACCATCGGTTTCTTCATTGCTGTCCAATTATCAGTCTCATCTACCCATGAAGGTGCGAATTCATCAAGGGCTATGGGTTCTCCACCGTCCACATATTGGTCCTCAAAGGATGAGTTGGCTCCCTACACCGAAAGGGTTTGAAACTCCAATTCTTCATCATCCTGAGGCGTATGCTGGGTAATTGTACCACCATCTAAAGTCAAAACCATAAATATTCTGGTGGGTTCTGACGATGACAGCGACGAAGACGAAAATGGGGGAATCCACAATCCAATCGAAGGGGCAGTTATCCAATTCAGCCTCCTAGGATGCAGCTGGCTGGCAAAGCTTAATCATTTGAGTGGTTGTGGTGCTATGGCTAGCAATGACGAAATAGAGGTTGGAGAGATTTTTGGTCAGGATGATGGCTATTTGAAGCTATTTGATTGATTAGGCAATAAATGCGGTTAATAAGGTGACGGGTGATTCAATTTAGACATGAAAATTTCACCAATAATTGGGCTTTATTGAGCACTTAATTTTAGTTGGGCTTACTTTGTAGGCATGTTTGTGGGTTTTTGTATACGGGTTGGTTAACCTGGTAATGTTTTAGCGGTTGAAGAACAATAGCATGGTAATGGATTATTATTATTATTTTGGTGCAAAAAAAGGGGTTTTCATTTTTGGTTACAAAGAGAGACATGGGAGTGCACACCGTTGGGTATTGGTTACTTGAGTGATGAGCTAGAATTTTTTATTCTCAGAGGAGTGTTATCTTTGAGTTTTCTAGAATAGGCTGTTTTGTGGGAATTGTTTCAACTATAGCATCTTGGCTAATGAAATATTGCTAGATATTTGACTGGCACATTGACTGCAAGAGCTTTTGTCGGAATATGAATTATGCGTTCGACTGAGTTCTTCCGACAGATAGGGTACATTGCATGTAGCGACACAATTTGAGAATTTCTTTTGAAAATTCTTCTTGGGCATGAGCTCTCTAGAGTGTCTTTAGATTGTTCTTGGAGTGGCTTCGAAGTAGTTCTTGGTTGTTTTTGCACAATTTATTGTTATTGGTCTCTCGTCATCACTATTTTCTGTAGATGGTTGCTGTGATTTAGATCTCTTCTTCATGAGTATAAGTATTGTCATCGTGGCAAGTTCATGATTGCAAATTAATGCTATTACCAGCATCAATTTGAGGAGAGTTGTTAATGTGATTAAATAAGATTACGGCTTGACGTCTATATTATCATTATAATTGTATTATATATATAGATAGATTGTTTTTACCATAGTTAAATTATAGGTTACCATTAGTTAATATTGTAATTGATTACTATCATATTTAGCGGTTACTTTGGTTCTATGTAATGAGAGAATTTCTCACATCGAAAGACATCAAATCTTATTGAGTATATTTGACACCTCTTAAAAGAAAGTTGGAGTTTCTTTCTTGAAGGTTCATGAAATAGATAAAGTGCAAGGCATAAAAGCATTAAACAAAAATTGTGCGGAACATTTTTTTATACTAGAATGTTTGTGCATGTGGTGTCTCGGGTATTGTCACCAATAATAATTGGTTCAAAGCTTTTACCTATTGGAGATTTTGACGATTACTTGGAATTTTCAAATTGATACCTATGTTATTTTATGCGTAAATATTGTGCATTTCTAAAATTATTTTTATTTGAAAAAGTGAGGCATTGCTGAGAATTTGCTCGAATAAAAGTGATGTTGAAAGTTTAAATGGCTTGGATTTAAATAACTCAAAGAAAGTTTGTGATTTTGAGAAAAAAATATTACTTTGCAATTAAAATTTGTTGAATTGAAAAAAAAAAAAAAGGACTAGTTAATAGGTTTACTGCATGTGCAGTGGAAATCTATCACACGTGGTGAAATGGCAAAATTCTTGACGTCAACGGCTAGAAGTCACCTTGGCATCATCAATATTAGATAAATCTATATGCTGAAGTGAACCTCAAAGCAATATCAAACCAAGATGGGGCAAATATCGATTTCAAAAAACATACTTTATACATGTTCCAGTCCTCCATTTTTTTGGGGCTTTTCCTTGTACATGTTTCCTGTTTTGTTCTTCAATTTGAGTTCAAAGTTTCTGTGTCCTTCCCTCTTCAAAATAGTCCAACATATTAAATGTTTCCAAGCTTTCCTTAACTTTTTTTTCTTGTTCTTCTCCAACTTGAATATCAAGAGTCTTCTAATCTTGTCATATCTACCTCTGGGTATAGGATATATGGATGACAAAGGCTTTCAACTTGAATACAAATACTAATTCTTTTCATCAAAAACCTAATATGTACACAATTCTTATAAGTGGTTCACAACAAGACTTAACCGAAGATGTCTATTTGCTCTTATATAGTACTGATTTATTTTATTTGAAAGTTTAAACGATTAAAGAATGAAAAAACTTGTTTATTTTAAATTATGTTTCGGAAATATCTTATCAATAATGAGAACGAGGCTATCTAAATAAGTCCGTAGTCACTGCAGAAGATGGTGCCTAAAGTCTTCTGAAAAAGTATTACTTGTGAAAAAATTCATTAGAGAACATTGGTTCTATAGAGTTGCTTTCCATTCTAAGCAATTGGTTCAACACCAACAGAGTAGCACCGAGGAACTATGTCTAAATGCTTCGTGGTTCAACATGAACAATATATGTTTCCAAACTACTGTTTTCAGAACTCACAATGTACAAAAATGAAAGAAAATTGAGTGTACAAACGAAGTGAGAAACTGAAAAAAAATAAATAAAAATAAAAACCATAATTCTTTTGTGATTTTTTCAAGAGTAATTAATGGCTATGGAACTCTTCTAGAAATTCTGATTATATATACTTGTAGTGCTTGTTTATTTTCCATTTAAGATGTACCTTCTAGTTTGGAAAATTATCTATGCGAATCTAGTCTCTATTCACTTATCTGGTCTTCTAATCTATAGATGCTTTTTTCTATATAGTGGACAAGCCTTTCGATTGCCTGGACATATGAATCACCAGGTTGTGTTTTCTAGCAATAATGCTACTTGTACATCATTATTTATAGATTGATGTACAAAAAGAGAGATAAAAATTGTTTGGAAGAGAGAGAGAGAGAGAGAAATCATTTAAATTTTAATATAATATCATGCCACCAATAAGTACATCAATCTATAAATAATTATCTACACGTAGCACTATACCTTGTTTAAAGGTGAAGGTGTAAGTCTTATCATTTATCTTCTGAAACTTTTGACAAGAACAAATCTTCAACTACATCAGAAGAAGTCTAGTAACACGTTTTCTTTTATCTCAAAAGGAAAATAGCTGAATACAGTTCTTGATCGTTGAATTCTTGAAAGGAGTGTAAAGAAGGAGATCCTTATTGTTGCTAATCTTGCAAAAATATGTTTTGACTTAAATGGAAGAAAAAGGCCAACTATAAAAGTAACAGTGACGGAGATGGATCAAATAAGAATTTCTCCCACATGCTGATTTATGCATTTTGTTTACACAATGTGGCTGATTTGGGACAATCTTTCTTTCAATTCCCTTTCCCATGAGATTTGCGTCTTCTCCTTGGTTTTTGACTTTTAAAGTGACCCTTTACTGCATAAACATCTGTTGTTGCATCTTTGTAAACTTTTTGATCTCGGTATTGTACAGTGTACTGCATGAGAATTCAAGATTCACTTTTTCACAAAAATCGAAGTGGTGGAAAAATCTAGAAGAGAACCCAACAATAACAAAGTTTTATCCTCATCTTCGAGAATACTTCATTCAAATTCAACAAGTCAGCTAGCTGATTAGAAGTGATATGGACGTCCATTGTGATACCTAGTTGATATTGGAAGTTCAAGAGTTTAATTTTCTAATTGAGTCGATTTCCAATTCTCTTTCAATTAAATTTTCCTCTAGTGTTCTCTACATCTTTCTCCTAGATATAACGGATACTTCTGATTATCAGATATAAAAAATTACGAGTTTTTCCAAATGCATTGAGATTGATTTTTGTGTTCATTAGTATCTTCTCCGACTTTTCTTTCAAACCAATTTCTAGTTTTCAACTAATTGGCATGCCTAAGACCACGCATTGCTACATAACGAAATTATCGTACCATGCCAATTGTTAGGAAAAAACAATGTCAAATATTGCTAATGGAAAAATAATAAGAAAGAAAAATACCGAGTCCAAAAAATATAAGAAAAACGAGAACCCAAGAATTTACGAGGTTCGGTAAAATTTACTTATGTCGTTAGGCACTACAAAACCTGTCCTCTAACTTTAAAACAGGAATATTACAAACTTTAGTGCAATTGTGAAATTACATAAAACTAGATGATTTTCGAGATATCATCTTCCTAAACCAATATGAATTTAGAAAAGAAAACAATATTTAACTTTGATTTTTATTTTTTGAGAGCTCTACTACTCCTTTTCTTAGCTGTGACTATGCAAAGAGTTTATAATTTATATAGTTTCCATAAGAGGCTCGTCTTTATTCAACTTCAGACTATTCCCTTTAAAAAAGGGTCTAAATGCTTGTGGGGTACGTCCAAGCTAATATTTTCCCACTTAACTTTCACAATGGTCGTAGCTAGTAGGGAATGCCTTAGCAAGACTGAATGTAGTTCATATAATGAGATTTGACAAAATTCCTTATTGGCTATTCAAATTAGCATGATTCCCTCTATTTTCTCGGGCTACGGAAAACATATGTTGAGATCCGTACAAAAAGCAGGTTCAAGTTAACTGAGAAATCTGATCTAATTCTCGTATTCTAAGTTTATATTTGTACTCCCGGAAGAGACAAGGAAACAATTCGATTTTATGAATTATATTAAGCCTCATAAATTCTCTGCCGGCTGTCGTTCAATCCAACTTCTTCTACCCCCTGTCGGCAATTTCAACAAGAAACCAAATCTGTTCTTCTTAAGGTAGAAAACCAAGAGTTAATTCATTAATTACACGACTTAGCAAGCAAAGTTTGCCACTGATTATGCAAATGAACTTGGTTTTGCGTACTGCTGTCTTTATTTTCTTTTGGCTGCAGCTTCCACTATTGCTTGCTGACAATAGTAACACCGCCACTGCCACCACCACTGTGAAACCTGGCTGCCAAAGCACGTGCGGGAATCTAACTGTTCCATACCCTTTTGGTATTGGCGTAAATGGTGGTTGTTCCCTCAATCCGTCGTTCAATATCAACTGCGATACGTTTTCAGACCCTCCCAAGGCCTTTCTTGGCACAACTGATCTCGAGGTCACAGCTATTTTTGACAACAAAATATGGGTCAAGAATTCCTTGGCATCAGTGTGCTATGATAAATTTGGAAATGCACTTACCGACAACTCGGGGCCTATCAGTTTAATGAACACTTCTTTTAGCCTGTCTACCGAAAACCAGCTCACAGTCATTGGATGTGATGACTATTCGTTGTTAGAAGATATGGAAGATTCCATAAGTGCTTGCGTCGGTAAATGTTCGAAAATCCAGGATTTGAGTGAAGGAGTTTGCTCTGGAATTGGCTGTTGCCAGGCCTCCATAACAAAGGGTTTACAGTATTTCTATGTTTACCTGACAAGCTTGAATGATCATCATAATGTCCGGTCATTTAATCCCTGTGGCCACGCATTTCTTGGAAAGCGGGATAGGTACACGTTTCGCATATCTCATCTCAATAATACGTCGATCTCATTAGATAACGTGCCATTGGTGATTGAATGGGAAATTGGGGACAAAAATTGCACTGAAGCTCAGAATTTGACTGGCATTAACCTATGTTATGGCGAAAGCATTTGTGTTGATTCTGATACTGGAATAGGGGGATACAACTGCAACTGCTCTATAGGATCTGCGGGCAATCCTTATCTCAGTCCGGGCTGCATAGGTTAGTTAATAAGGATTTTTCCCTATTCAATAAAAATATGTACACCATCAGTTTTTGGCCTGGCTATTATCGGGCTAATTTGATGAAACTTCCTCTGCTAGATGTTGATGAATGCAAGGATCATCCATGTGATGAATTTGCAACCTGCGATAACCTTCCAGGTAATTACAGTTGTGAATGTCGGAAAGGATATCTAGGTGATGGCAGAAAAGATGGTCTCGGTTGCTTTCTCGTGCAACCTTCAACATACTCCGATACGAATGAAGGTAATAAATCTCTCATGCAGTTAGTGATGCAGAATTTAGAAAGTATCATTTTTGACATAGGTGGAAAAGACAGTGTTAACTTCTGATGCATGTTTAGGTTGTGGTTTATAGCTAATGAATTCTTAATAAAACTTGCTAAATCTGCCTTTGCAACCAGAGATTATCTGATCCATTGGCTATGATGGTACAATTAACTATCTTAAGATAGGTGCTATGGATTTTTCATACAGGTTTACGCATAGCCTCGGTATTATTGTTCTTATTGGGGGTATTATTGTTCCTATTGGGGGTTACCTTAGTGTTGTACAAAGTACTGAAGAAGAGGAAAAGAAATAAGCGCAAACAGAAATTTTTTCAACGAAATGGAGGTCTTTTGTTGCAACAACAGATATCATCTAATGAAGATGTCCTTGAGAGAATGAAACTTTTCCGGTCTAAGGAGTTGGAGAAGGCGACTGATCGCTTCAATGAAAGCCGAATAATAGGTAAAGGAGGCCAAGGTACGGTCTACAAAGGCATGCTATCAGATGGAAGAATAGTCGCAGTGAAGAAATCCAAGTCAATCAATGCAAATCGAGAAGAGGAATTTATAAACGAGGTTGTCATACTTTCGCAAATAAATCACAGAAATATTGTAAAGCTACTAGGATGTTGTTTAGAGACTGAAGTTCCGTTGCTAGCTTATGAATTCATTTCCAATGGAACCCTCTTTGACCTCATACATGACGAAAGTCCCAATTTTCCATTTTCATGGGATGTGCGCTTGAGAATAGCTGCAGAAGTATCAAATGCCCTTGCCTATCTGCACTATGCATCTTCCATTCCCATTTATCACCGGGACATCAAGTCGAATAATATCCTTTTAGATGAAAAATATAGAGCTAAAGTGTCTGATTTTGGAATTTCGAGGTCTATTGCATTAGATCAAACACACTTAACCACCAAGGTCAGGGGGACATTTGGGTATCTAGATCCAGAGTACTTTCGGTCAAACCAATTCACAGAAAAGAGTGATGTTTATAGCTTTGGTGTTGTTATGGTAGAGCTTTTGACAGGACAAAAGCCAATATCTTCAAGTCCATCAGAAGAGGAACTAAGTTTAGTAACACGTTTTCTTTTATCCATGAAAGGAAAACAGCTTAACACAATTCTTGATCCTCGAATGCAAGAAAATGGTGCGAAGAAAGAGATCTTTATTGTTGCTAATCTTGCAGAAAGATGCTTGGAATTAAATGGAAGAAAAAGGCCAACTATGAAAGAAGTGGCCATGGAATTGGACAAACTTATGAGAATATATTCCAAAAGCTGATTTTATCCTTTTCTTTTCTCGTCTGTACTGATTCATATTCTGTTCTACTGAAACATAAACATCAGCCAATCTTCTGGTACTAAAATTTTGTTGTGTTTTGTTATGCTAATATGGCTTAATTAGTCATATAAATAAAGCTCTATTATTTTGCTCGATTCTCTTCGTAAAATAAGAATGTAGTGTATTTCTTACATGACTTGACAATGGCCAAGCCCGGGGGGACTGATTTTCTTCCCTTAATATGCTTGTTTATCTTAAGCACAATGGAACACACTTTTCTAACAAGCTGAATTCAAGGGTAAGTTCTATCCAATATGCTCATAACAATGATATAAGAGCAAACACCTTTTGAGGATGACTATTTCTTCGGAAAAGACAACGTAGAGAGAGCTACATTTATTAGAAGGCTAGTTTCACGAAGTCACAAATAAGGTATTGGAAAAATTCAGCATTAATATTTGGATTAGAGAGAATTGGGTTTAGGGTGTTGCATATTTCTCTCGTACTAACGAGGAATAATGACTAGTAAATCGAAAGCTAAATTCTATAAATATCACAGCATTTTACAAAGAATAAAAGTGTAAAAAAAAAATTAAAAATAGCCAAATTCCTGTTCTTTCACATCCTTACTTTGGATAGACGAGAATTGTCATTACTTGAATTGGCTCTATCGGAGCTCTGGAAAATAAGGTCAAGGAATGTGATTAGACAAAGAGGTGGTAGAGGGCTCGTTGACTTCAATTTTTGGGTCAACAAATATTATTGTAATTATTATTAACTTTAATTTACATTCTTCTCAAATGCAAAATATCTTGAACATTAATTTGGATTTTTCAAGGAAATATTAAAATATTGAGATACACATAAAGCTTTTAAAAGTTTCTGGTGAATTATTTTGAAACATCAGCAGAAAAGTAATTCAATTACAAAATTGTCATTTGAAATGAATTGTTTACGTTTAAAAATTTCCTATTTACTATAATTAAAAAGATCATTCTTCGCCATTTATTCCACCACAACCTCCTCCATACCAACTCCATTAAACTACTAGTCAAATTGAAAATAAATAAAAATAGAATATGAAATTGCTTGTTATTTATTTAATCTAACAATAGAAAAAATCTATCAAACCCACCAAAAAAAAAAAAAAAAAGGGAACTCCAAAGGCTCAAGATCAACTCATATATGTGAAAAAATGACAAATTATTAAACACTGTTAGAGGAATTTTGTGGATAGTGACACCAAAATAAGTATAATGATGGTTTGTAAATCCGTGCCGAAAATTGGACAGAGTAACAGCAAAGAAAACACAAACAAGAAGAAGAAGAAAGTAGGGACAAAGTCGAGGCAAGAGTTGGACTCTTTGTCCTTAAGTCGAATTTGCCCCGCAACGGTGCCTACGGATTTCGGCAATCGACTCCCAAGATACAACGGCTACACTTGTGTTTGTAGCACTCCAAAATACAAGTACAACGAACCAAATTTAGGCTTATGTACTCCAAGGATGAAATGAAGGAAAATCAAAATAAATGAAATGATTTTGATTTTGGATAGAAGAGAGGATGAGAGATGTTTTGCATATCAAAATGTGTGGAATAGGACACCCAAAGGGTCCTATTTATAGACCATGAAAGGGTGTGGACGAAATGGTTGATGCCAAATCATGCACCCTTTCCAAACAATGCACCTTTATGAAAAGGTGTCTATTTACCAACCATGCGGTTGTGACCTGATTTTCGTCCTTTTTCGTAATTTTCTCATTCATCCGATATTGGTTTTCGAAATGTCAAATATACCCTTCAATACATGCAGAGAAATCAAAATTCTCTTTCAGGGGTGTTGCCCCCGAGCCCCCACGGGGGGCGCTGCCCCCTCGACCCCCACGACCTGACCGAGCAGGTCGATCCCCGTTTGTGCGCCCCGAAGCGACGAAGTGACAAATAATTTTGCCTAAACGGATTGAGTCGAGCTTTTGAATATTTGCCGAAGTCGATACGAAGTCACTTTAATTTCTCGATTTATTTAACCAATATCCAACAATCCCCCACATAAACAGTAAAATGTGGATCAAGAATTAATTTTTGAAAAAATTCATATATTAAGAATGCATATAATATTTATAACGTGACTCCTCAATAATCTAGATTTTTTATGATCGATTATTTTGAAAATAATGAGAATTTTGAATTGTTATGAAATATTGAACTAGAAATACATTTTTCTTATAGGATTGCATTAAGATGAATTTGTAAAGTATTTATAAAATTAATTAATTTTAATTTTGATTACCCACTAATCTTTTTAGCAAATGAAAGAAGATGCGCATGGAAAATGATGTGAGATAATTTTATGGTCTACTTCAAAGATTTAGTGCATCTTGGTACGATGCACCTTCAAAAAGAGATATATGGGATAGTCAAATTCACTATTGATTCTTAAGATAGTACAGAGAATCAAATCGAAATGGTCGAGTCTTGATCCATGGTCACAAAATCAACTTGTTTAGTAGAGGAATCAGAGCTGAGTCGATGGGTTCTATCCGACTTCGATCTGACTCCAATAATTCCAAGAAAAAATGCCTCCTTCCCTCGAGTTAGTAACTCAAAAAACTAAAGGAAAAAACTCAAGTTCCTGAATAATAGGAAAAATAAAGAAGAAAGAGAAAGAGAGCAAGGGGAGCCGTAGAATAGTGAAATCGATATACTAAATTTTGACCCAAAAAAAAATGATATTTGCTCTAAAGTTTGAGAGGGAAAGAAAGGGGCGGGGGGGGGGGGGGGGGGGGGGGGGAAAAAAAAA